TCCACGCTTGTTTGAGGCCATATATATATATATAAGCGAGAAAGTTAAGTTTTTATCTCTTATAATGTTCATATTAGCCAAATACCACCCTTTTTAAAACTAAGGGAGATGGGCATTCAAAATGTGTAATAGAAAAAAAGGTCAAGTATAGGTTGATGAAGAGTTTCTCAAGATAGATTTTTTTAGCCTTGTTGTCCTAATGATGCTCTTTAAGATTTGGAAAATTTGCTAAATTTGAATCGGTTTGAACTTCATTTGAATCTAGTCCAAGTTCAATTTAAATCTAGTTCAAATCTTATTTTTGTTTATTGTTTAAATCTATATAACCTGGCTTAAGCTTAAATCAAAGCTAGTTTGAACCTATGCCACATCTTTAAAGTTGAATTCAAAAGGCCTATGCCATGTTCCAATTGCATGAAAAATTATGCTTTCTATTAAATAAAAAACAAATTTATTTTGCACTTCTTGAATTTAAATCGACCATTCATTTCACTTTTGAGATAACAAAGTTCCATCTGATTTTAATGCATTAATAAGAAAATTACATTTTTATGCAATTTATGGAGAACTGACAAATAATAAATGAAGATTGTTATTATTGTAGAAAACATGAGTCATTAGATGAGGTTAAAACAATAAATGAACATGAGATTTACGAGTGTGCCACTAGCCAAAACACAGCTTAATTCTCAATGTAAGAAACAATTATGATGGAGGGTGGTTAATTTTCGACCATAATTCATGCAATACAATTCAAACTTAATTCGAATAAAATTTCAATCAAGTTCAAACCAAAATTTCATGTGCAATTAGAGCATAGACATTTCACATGATATTTGAATGACATTGGAATCCATTTCTAATTATATTTAAATTGAACATAAACCATGTTCAAACAAAATTTGAATAGATTCAAATTTAAACCAGACGCCAAACATTGGAGGGACCTATATAACAGTCGATCAAGTCAATCCCAAAAAATCTTTTCTTCTAGACAAATTATGGACTTGAACCTTCTTAATATAACTCACGTGGATGGTCGATGTACTAGCGTTGCCAGCCAATAGATGACAATTTTACATGACCACTCTAATTGCAGTCTAATAATATAAAGGGTTATCACTCATTGGAGCAATTTTTTGATCCAAAATATATATTTAGAAGATAATTGGCACAAAAAAACTTATAAATTAATATTAGTCTAGATAGATAAATTGTAGAGATGAAACTTCAAAATTCCCTAACAAAATACTAAAAATATATGTCGTTATTAGATATTATGTCACCATAATAGAACGAAAAACAATTTGGTCAGGTAACTGACCAATAAATTAAACTATGTTTTTTTCATTGGATTTCATCTCAAAAAAGAATACAGAATAATGGAACCAATGCCCAAAACTTTGCACAAAACTAAAAGCCATGTAGCCTTCCACAATCTAATACTGCAGATTGGTAGTACATCCATTTGAACTATAGAGAAGAAACAGATCTAGGGTGGGAAGCCTAAAGAAAGATAAGTAGCGCTATATATCTTTAATTGTATTTTCCCATTACATTTATAGATAGGTAAGTGCTTGTATATGTAAGCAATAGTAATGGCAAAAAAAATAAATACACGAAGGATAAAAAATGTCATTTCACAATGCTATAAATAACACTATTCGTTGCTTGCAAGTCCTAACCAATCACACACCTCTTGGGAAAGGAGGCGAGAGTGATATCCATAGATGGCGAGAAGATGCGATGAGCTTGATGAAGACAGAGGAAACAATCAAGAGCAACTCCTGTTTATTTAGCCCCCCTCAAGATAAAGATCAAGTTTGGTGATCATTAGCTTGTTGGTCGGGCATTGATGACTCACAATCGGCAACAGTTTGATAAGAATATTGACAACTTGATCTGCAGTCATTATATGCTTGAGTAAGATATTTTGAAGCTTTAGATGATCCCTTGTGAAGTCATAATATACTTCAATATACTTAGTCCTCGTTTGGAAAACTGGATTGTGCACTAGCGCTATAGCCGAGGTACTATCAATATAGATTGTGGTAGGAGATAATTTTTGCTTGGTCACTTCCTCTATTAATTGTCAAAGTCAAAGGATTTTTGTAGTAGTGGTAGCAATGAACCTATATTCGACCTCTGTAAAAGATTTGGCCACTATTAGTTGTTTCTTTGCGGACCAGGATATGAGATTTGATCCAATATAGACATAGAAACCTGTAGTTGATTTGCAATCGTGATAGTCATTGGCCAAATTTGAAGCTACATATGCTCTTAGACATATATCAGTAGAAACAATTAGAAGACCATAATCACGAGTTCCTTTTAAATAACGAAGATGCCTTTATAGTTGTTGAAAATTAAGATTTGTAGGGTTGTGCATGAATTGACTAAGATAATTAAAAGAAAACGTGAAGTCTGCACGAGTGGCAATCAAATATTTAGGAGATCCTATAATCTGTCTAAAAAGATTGGGTTCTTTGAATAATATTGTAAATTCATAAGATTTTGATGATATAATGGACATGAGAATCATAATAGGTTTATCATTTTCCATGTATGTTTTATGTAATAAAGTATCTATATACGGTGGTTGATGTAGAAATAACCATTAGGAATATGTTGAATATTGAGTCTAAGGAAATTAAAAATATGGCCCAACATGTAGAAATAACCATTAGGAATATGTTGAATATTGTAAGGAAATTAAAAATATGGCCCAACTGTTTCAAGTTAAACTGGTTACTATGCTTTTCAAGTAAAAACTGAATAGAATGTGTATAATTACCTATCATAAGAATGTAATCAACATATACCAATAAATAAATACATATGCTGTTGTGGGAATAAATCAGTAAAGAAGGATCAATCTTACTTAAAGCAAAGTTTTGTTGACATAGAAAAGTGCAAAAAGTTGAGTACCATTGCTCCACGCTTGTTTGAGGCCGTATCTGGCTTTGTGTAACATACATACGTAATGTGGGAAATGAGGATCAATGAATCCTTGCAATTTTTTCATATACATCATGTTGTCTAACTTCCCGAGTAAGAATGCATTGGAGACATGTAGTTGGTGAATAGTCCATTGTCTGTGGGTTGCCAAGGGAATATAAAAACGAATTGTTAGAAACTTAGCCACAGGATTAAAAGTCTCTTGGTAGTCAATCTCTTGTTGTTGAGAGTATCCTTGAGCAACCAAACGAGCCTTTGTCTTACAATTGTGCTTTCATTATTATATTTAACTTTGAATGTCTACTTACATCCTAAAATATTTTGACTTTCAGGAGGTGAGACAAGGTCCCAGGTGTCTTGTTGTAGTGTCTGAAATTCTTTTGACATGACATCACGTTAGTGAGAATATTTGGCGACTTAACTGTTAGGGGTTGGCTCCATTGAATTAGAGATATTGTGTTGGAGATCAAATATTCGTGTGGATTTTAAATTTCCAGTTTGTGCCCTGGTAACCATGGTAAGATGTCTGTGTAAATGGACAAGAGGTACTCTTGATTTGCTGTTGAAAAGTTGGAATCCATCAGATGCTACGAGGCTTTTGCTCAAATACCAACTTGAACAAGAGAGAAGAGACGATACCATGGAAGGAAGCCTGAAGAAAGATGAGTGGTGCTATATTTCGTTATCTGTATTTTCCCATTACATTTACAAATACATAAGTGCGCATATATATAGGCATTATTAATGGCAAAAGAGTAAATACACAGGACTAAAAATGTCATTTTAAAAAGATATAAATAACACTCCTTATGTGCAGGCCCTAACCTATGGGACGCTTGTCTGGGAAGGAGGCCATAGCGAGATCCATAGAAGGCGGGAAGAGAGGAGCTTGATGAAGACAGAAGAAACAATCCATTTACATCCAACTCATTTTCCCTTTTGTCCATTCTTGTACAACAACACTAAAACACCGTAGGAGACACAAGAACTAAACATAATACTGGCAGCCATAATCTATGCTTAAGAATATGGAGTGTTAGATTTACACCCACGTCACCTAATAAATTTTCCACTTTGATTGCTGATATTACAAATCTTACTCAGATGAGACATAGCTACGGCGCCACGTAACAGCTATGGGGCTCCTCACCTTATGAACTCCATCATTCCAAGAAATCCAACCAAACTGATTAGAACCCTCCGCCTCAGATCCAGCCATGGACGCAAACTTTATCTCATAAGACAAGCTCGAGTTCAAAAGATCAAAGACCAGCTCATCCGGCGTCACCGTCACACTCACCCCCAACGGGCTCGCAATCTCCACCTTATATTTTACAGAACCAGAATGTCCTAAGCCAACGTTCCTCACCGTCCTCCTGTAAGTAACCACATCTTTGATATTCAAGAACACAACAGAAAACGACGGGTAGTTGAGTGATCCAGGATTGGATAAGGCCTTCGAGGAGCAATCCACTCTGGTTTCATCCCTTGTGAACACCGCAATCTGATTCGGGCTGTAACCAATGGAGCAGAGGAAGGCGATATAATCTTCAAAGCCGGCGTCGTAGACCAAGCCAGGGTCCAGTGCTTTGTTCGGATCCACATGGCCGGCGCCGCGAACAAACGGCGTTGAATCCTCTTCAGTGGAGAGATCCTTGATAGTCTCGCCGGAGTTATCGAGGTTGTAAGCTGTGGTGATGAGAGCGGATTTAATGGCCGCAGGGCTCCAATCTGGATGGGCGCCGTGGAGAAGCGCTGCGATGCCGGAGACGTGCGGGCAGGACATGGAGGTCCCGGAGATGATATTGTAAGCGACTCTCCTCGTGTCAATGTCAAGATTCGTCGGACTCGCCATGTCGGTCCACGCCGCTAGTATATTGATGCCGGGTGCTATCACGTCGGGCTTTAGAATCTCCGGCGTGCGGTAATTGGGGCCCCGGCTTGAGAAAGCTGCCACCTTTGGTGCCGGAGGGTGGCTGCTAATGACGGTTCCACGGAAAACAATGGCAGCCGTTGGAGAAGACGAAGTGCTTATGTAAGCGCGGATCTTGTCCCCGGCTAAAGCCCCAACCATGGTCGCGGGAATGAGATGACAATCTGCTGTAAGTTCATCGCCGTAGTCTTCCGTATTAGCTAAGATCATGCCAGCTCCTCCCGCGATCTTAACAGCTCCGCCCTTTTCTACCCGCGCATTGTTACCGCGGTCGCAAAGTACGATCTTGCCAGCCACTTTTGATGCATCCAGATGGCCGGAAATGCATAGCCGAGACCCGCAGTCGCCAGCGTATACAAGAGGTAAACCTGCGGCAATGATGCTTTTGTCACCGGAGTAGAGGGAGACGCCTTTATAAAGAGTCCCATCACCAAGGACAACATCGGCAGGAAATTCGCGATCGAGTTTTGTCACCGGAGTAGAGGGAGACGCCTTTATAAAGCGTCCCATCACCGAGGACAACATCGGCAGGAAATTCGCGATCGAGTGTGGAAGCCCCAACGGTTATAATCCACGGCGCGATGTTGACGGCCGTGTAGGCATAAGGACCAGAGTTGCCTGTTGAACAGGACACTACCACGCCATGCCGGGCGGCGCCAAAAGCACCAATCGCGATAGAGTCGCGGTAATAAGGCGGTGAATAGCCGTTTGCACCGACGGACAGCGATATGACGTTGGCGCCATCTGCGACTGCGGCGTCCATAGCAGCGAGGATGTCGGAATCGAAGCAGCCAGGGGCCCAGCAAATCTTGTACGCCGCGATGCGGGCGTTGGTAGCGATCCCTCGAGCTTCTCCACGGGCGTAGCCAAACAAGCTGGCGCCGGCGACTGCTGCGCCGGCGGCGGTGGAAGCGGTATGGGTTCCGTGGCCTTCAGTGTCTAACGGCGATCTGGACTCGATGGTCTCATCCATGGGGTGACCGAGAGCTGCCTCATAGCCCTTGCAGAAGAATTTAGCGGAGATGAGCTTGTTGTTGCAGAGGGAGGAATTTGGGAAGGCGCAGGAGGAGTGGAAGGCGGAGGGGGGAGATGGGAAGGAGGGATCTGCGAGGAAAGAAGCAGAGGAAGGGGTGATACCGGTGTCAAGGACTGCTATGACGACTGAGGAGGCGTAGGAGGAGAGGGGCCAGATGCCGGCGAATGGGGAGAGGTTGAGAAAAGAGGGGGAGTGGGTGGTGTGGAGTGAGCGGGGACGGTCGGGCACAACTGAGAGGATGTGTGGAAGGCGGCGGAGGGCGGCGGCTTGGGGGGGGGGGCGGAGAAGCCAGCAGCCACGCGGTCGTAGATGTAGAGGATCTCGGGGGGTGGGTGGAGAGGGAGGGACTGGAGAGTGGAGGAGTACCAGTGGACCGGCGACGGGGTTGTAGATGGCCGGAGGGATGGTGACACGTGGACGATGTACGTTGATTGGTGATTGCCGTTAGCTGCGATGGCGGCGGAGGAGAAAAGTAGGAAGAGCGATAGAAGTGACTGAAAGAAGTCCATCGGTTTTAGGCAAGTTCCGGCAGTGAGAACATTACATCCCGATTCCTGAATTTGTATTGAAGAATGGCTTCGAATATGCAGGTTTAATGTAGATTAATTACGGCGATGCCACTGGATGGATGCAGCGTTTTATTACCCTGGGTTCAGGCTTTTGGTATAGGTAATTGAACGACATAGAGACGTGATTTTGAGAATGATGGAGGGGGAATTCTGGCAATTAGAAGGGACGAAATTAGAATCCTAGGTCTTGGAGCTGGTTGGTTTCGGTGAGTGGTTGCCGTCGCTAAGGTGGGCCTGCGGAAGTTAAGCTGGGACGACATGAGCCACGAGCGGCTAAGCTAATGGCGTTTTAACACCTGGTAGCTGTCCGTGCATTCTCCATTCGTTTAGAGAATGATAATTTTGCGGACAGATGGTGGCCGCGTGCCATCTTATTAGCGGAACTAATAACGGGAACTCGGAGAATGAAAAGTTTTTTTCTTTATTATTATTATTTTCTTTTTTGTATCAGGGCGCGTGCTTCACTCCTTCGAAATTGGCTCGTGTTCGAAATAGAATGTGAATAGCGTGTTCGTGTTTGGTTCGAAAATTTTATTCATGTTCGTGTTCGGCTTAAAATTAGCTCTATAGAATATAAAATCATTATAACAATTTATTTTTTAAAATAAAAATAATGATAATTTTGCGGACAGATGGTGGCCGCGTGCCATCCCATTAGCGGAACTAATAATGGGAACTCGGAGAATGAAAATTTTTTTCTTTATTATTATTATTATTATTCTGCATCAGGGCACAGTTAGGGCGGTAAAAGAGCCGAGGCTCGTCAACTCGTTTCGAAATCGGCTCGTGTTCGAAATAGCTTGTGAATAGTGTGTTCGTGTTTGGCTCGAAAATTTTATTCATGTTCGTGTTCGGCTCAAAATTAGCTCCACAGAATATAAAATTATTATAACAATTTATTTTTTAAAATAAAAATAATATCATGAATTTTCTAAAAAAACTGTTCTTATTAATAACTTAATTCCAAATAAATCTTAAGAATAAATTTCATGAAACGAGATTAACTACAAAAATTTCTAGAAAAAATTTCATACAAAATTTTACACGAAGAATATTAATATTTTTTTAACAAAATTTTACAAAATACAAACAGCTTCATGACAAATTTTAAAATTTACAAATTCAACAAAAATATGAAAAAATACATATAAAATCTCAAATAAAAATCAAAATATAAAAAATAATTATACAAAATTTTACACAAAAAAGAATTACATGTATTTTTTAAGTAAAATGGACAATTGAGCTTTCTTCGACTCAGCTTGGGCAGACAATAACCGTATCCACTTGCACGAGATACCTCCGAACCCATAAATCAACTACTGTCCCTTATTTATAATTATCTTATATCTACAAACATAGACTGCTGCTACTTGGGCAGACAATAACCGTATCCACTTGCGCGGCGTCGATCTGCACGAGCCATGCCGAAAGCTTCGACATCATTGCAGAGTATCAGTCCACAGGCCCCAACTTACTGTTTTGCCTACAGTAACAGTAATTAGGTTTAGTTGGCTGGTTATAAATCAAAAGAGAAGATTACATTGTTGGGGTTTTGTTCTAAAATTCATACTTGATTTTCTACTGTAAGTGATTACAAAATTTTTAGCATACAAATTTAATGTATTTACATATCTCACACCTGAACTCTCATATTTACACACATATCTCACTCAATCTATTTCCATATCAACACCTATACTATAGATTTGAATGGTATTAATGTAAGCATAAAAAATACATAGGATTAGGTGGTATGTTTGGAAGTGCAAATTGACTTCACCTTTCAAACATTTCTCAAAAAGAAAATGGAAACCCTCGGATTTTTTTCTCCCCTGCTGCAATATCCCATTTCTCCGGAGCCCTACAATATGCAAAACGAACCCAATGCCAAATTAGATCCAAAACATTGTCATGGCCTACTAATTCCAAATAAAACCTGCAAACCAGGAGCTTCTAAAAAGTAGCAAGAATATAAAAGATAATCTGAAAGGGAGATACTTCTCGGCGTAGCCTTTGAGTTTCACCAACCATAACAAAATTGAACTTATTTGCCTTTGCCTCTCACCAACCAGAACAAAATGCAAACCTAAGAAACTCCTTTGCCTCTCACCAACCAGAACAAAATGCAAACCAAAGAAACTTATTTTCTAAATCTGATAATGATAAGCCAAAGGTAGACAAGCTGAGAGACAACCTGAAACTTTAGGACAAAATGAAAAATAGTTAAGAAATTTTGCAATTGATAAAATGAAATTGATTCATATACCTAGAACTCTAGGATTTCAGCTAACAATTTCCTTTTTAAATGAGGGCCAACAGATAACTGAGGTTGCAAAATTGTGTTGCAAAGTTGTGTTGTCTTCCAAAATTAAGAGTAAGAATAATCATCTTCATTCTTAGGCATCATTTTATATTCGTACCTTAAAATGGTTGTAAACTTGTGTTACCTTCCAAAATTAAGAGTAAGAATACTCATCTATGGTATCTTTTCATATTCTTATCCTAAAATGGTTGCAAACTTGTGTTGCCTTCCAAAAATAAGAGTAAGAATAATCATCTAATGGGGCACCGAAAGAAACCACTTTAAAACCTCTCAAAGCACAGGCATAATATGGGGCATAAAATGTACATATATACATTCTCTCAAAACCAGTAAAGGAATATCATGTAGGTACTAAAAATTAGCCAACAGTATGTAACAATTGGATAAATTCATATATAATCAGAGTTTATGATGAATAAACCATAAAATGTAACAATTTGATACATTCAAATATAATCCAAACAATATTTATACACTTTCGCGGTGTGAAAAGTATATATATGTATATATATATATATATATTCTCTTATTTTTCATACTTGTAATGATACACATACATGCAATTAAAGAGGAAATAAAATTATGAAATAAAAATAAACATGAAAACAAAAGTTCTTCCCAAAGACTTCATAAAAACATAACATTCTGCCACATAGATGTCTCCCATTTTCATTTTCCTGATAATGCATCATGACTGCTTTGTAAAAATTACTTTTTTGTAAAAAAAAGTTCTCAAAGATTTCATAATGCATCAAACCTAATTAAGCCTATCCGAGGAAGTCAAAAGCATGATAAAATATTCTTCCAAAATTAATTTGGAAAGTTATAGTAAAAATAACTGCTTTGTCAAGAGATTCCATCAATATCAAAATCATCCAATTCCGTCTCTAAATTACTAGAAGAACTAAAATGAATGGTTGAACAAACTCCAATTTTGTTTGTTATAATAAAAATTAACCAATAATATGTAATAATTGGATACATTCAGGATGAAAAAAGATGTAACAGTTGGATAAGCCATAAAATGTAACAGTTGGGTGAATAAGCCATAAAATGAATAAGCATAAAGCTTAATTATATATAATCAGAGTTGGATAAGCCATAAAATGTAACAGTTGGATGTAACAGATATAATCAGAGTTTAGGATGAATAAGCCATAAAATGTAACAGTTGGATAAGCCATAAAAAAGAATAAGCCATAAAGCTTTATTAGCATCATTTCCTCCCTCCCCTCAATTTACTCGGGCAAAGCCACTTCAAGCTATTCCTCTTCCATTAATTCTTGCTTGTAGGAAATATATATAAATATTGGTTTTAAGATGAAAAAGTACATATACTATAGAAGCTAATTCATGAGAGAAATTAACATAGGTGTTTTCATACGATTCGTGGAAGATCTAATCCAACTAGACGAGCATATTAATGCAGTCACTGTCTTTGTCGAGAGTCAACTTCTGTAATCATTTATGACTCTTCCATCAGTACTAAATGCAGATTCTGAAGCAACAGTTGTTATTGAAATCGATAGTATATCCCTAGCCATTTTCGATAAGCAAGGATACTTGAGAGTGTTCAACTTCCACCACTCAAGGATATCAAAATGTTCATTATTGGCCAAAAAAGACCATTTTCTAGATAGACTTACAAATCTGATTTTGATGGTTGAATAGAACCAGATGAAACAACAAAATCAGCAAATGCAAGCATGCAATCAAAACTTTGTGAATTAAGTAAATCACTTGGCAACTCTGAAGAAACATTGCCATTTGCAGAACTGGAACTAACAATATCGCTTGCATGCGTATTGTAAATTTCCAATAGAACATCTTCAACTAGTTTAATTTTGAAGTATAATTCAATAGATGTATACATCTTGGAAAAACTAAAATGTATGAACTTCATTTTCAAACGAGGATCCAAAACACCTGCAACAGACATTATGAGTTTGCACTCACCCAAATATTTATCAAATTTACCTCTCATAGCAGAGACCATGTTCCTAATATAGTCATTGAAGGAAGTCTCATCCAACAACAATTTATTTATATGGAAAAAAACAGGTAAAAAAATATTTGAGGTCGGGTAGAAAGTACCTGAAATCATTTTTTGCCACATTAATAAAATTCAATAAAATTCATTATTTGCATAAAATCACAGAAAAAACATAATTGATGTTGTGTATACAGAACCTGAAATCATTTTTGTCACATTTTTAAAAACAACAAGAAATTTCCTGATTTTATCATATTTCTCTCAATATAAATCTGAAGGCAACCAACTGAAATTATTATCTCGGTTTGCATAGTAAACGAACACCTTACGAAAAATAAAAGCAGATTCGAGCATTAAGAATGTTGAGTTCCATCTTGTTGGAACATCGATGCACAAACCCTTTGATGTTGATATCCCTAATTATCTGGATATCTCAACAAACCTATGCAACCTTGTCGGTGACTTCTTCAGACATTTGATAGACTCTCTAATGTTATAAATGATATCACTAATCTTTCTCAAACCAACTTGCACCATAATATTTAATATATGAGCACAACAACGAACATGAAAGAAATATCCCTTAAAATGCAATTTCCCTCTTATCATAAAATTTGATTGGAGCAAGCTAGCAGCACCATCATTATTACTAGCGTTATCTAAAGTGATAGTAGAAACTTTATCCTGTATATTCCAATCTAACAAGCAATCACAAATGAATGTGCCAGTATGAGGTGGATCCAATTCAATAAAATTAATGATTTGTTTTTGCATTTTCCAAGACTGATCAATGTAATGAGCAGTTAGAAACATATATCCGATTGTTTGATTGGAATTCTAACAATCAGAGGTTAATGAAAATCTGTGAATATCCCTAAATTATTTTATGAGCTTCTCTTTTTTGAACTCATAGATCTTCATGCAATTAGTTTTTATTGTGTTCCTTGAAACTTTCTCATAATTTGGGTTAATTTGGGTTTGGGTTCAAGGACTTCAATAAAATGTTAAACCATGTATGTTCAATAATATTAAAAGGATACTTATGCACTATAATCATTTTGGAGATTATCTCTTTAATCTTATGTTAATCATAACTTTTTT